TAATAATAACAGGTGATAGTGAGTAATAAAACAATGAACATTAAAAAGTAATTGAGTATGATACATAAAAATATAGTTAACTGCGTAATAATAATTATTAAATCATTGAAATAATCCAACTACTTCGATTAATTTTAAACACCTGAAAGCTGGAAGATAATTGAGCTTGACCGATCTAACGGGCCGATAGGTTTGCTTTAAAGACACTGGTATGACTGAGAGGGGCAGGTAGCTATTCCAGATTGTTTTCCCCAAAACTGCTGAACTATGGAAAATGTATTCAGCAATTTTATTGATGGGGAGACAGTACCAAGTCTGTGCTGTCCTGAAACTTGGTGATCCAAAAAGAAGAGGTCAGCCATATAATTAGGCCAGGCACATAATGCGTCCCAGTCAGCTTGTAAACCAGAACGTTAAGTCTATTGATGAGTAGACTTGAATAAAGTCGAACTTTGCTCTTCCCTAGTCAGCCATCCATTCAGCCGGTACGCACTACACTGCAGTCTCACTCGGCCCGGTATATGCATCTCGCATAAACCTTGTAAGGCGCCCTCATTTGATAGCCTTTAATGTACAACGAGGCCGAGTTCGGGCGGCTTGTTCCCGTATGCTCACGAACAGCTCGATTTGTTGTTCGTGGGTCGGCCACTCGAACGTCGGGAACAAACAACCGGTTATCGCTAGTAGTAAGTGACAAGCAACATGCAACATGGAGGCGTCAATATAGGCTACGTTATTCGAGAGTTAATGTTTGGATGGGCTGAATTCTTTTCTATATTAACAGGAATATTCATTTCTGTGTTATGGAAAATAATTAATGTTAATTTTGCAAAACTTCCCATTGTCTATGGCTTTGGAAGCCATCTGTCTACTTTTTGCAGCTGTTCTGTGTTATGGAAAATAATTAATGTTAATTTTGCAAAAAATCCCATTGTCTATGGCTTTGGAAGCCATCTGTCTACTTTTTGCAGCTGTTCAAAAATCAAAATCTCACGGGTTTTTCCGTGTGTTCCTGTAAAACCCTGGTGAGGAGGTGGTGTGTGATCCTGTTCCGAGAACAGTGTTCTTGAGTCGTGTTCCCGCCGCTGTTCGAGCGCGAGAACAAGAAACCCGTGTCAAGAACAGGCCGCCCGAACTCGACCCGAATGTCACCAATCAGTAAGTCCGACTTGACAGATAAGTCCCATCGTCGACATGTAGTTACATAAAGTATACGGAATTTCCACCAATCAAAGTTGTCAGACTTGTAGACTCATTCATTTTAATGC